CAGGAGCCGTTCATGAGCAGCCCATACAGCCCTACCCCTCAACGTGGAAGGCACCACCAGCCTGTGACGGCGGATCGTCCCGTCCCAATGCATGAGTACGCCCTGGCACCACCCCCATGAGTCAACGCCCGACTTCCCTGGATCCGATCCTTCCGCGCAACGTCGTAGTGCCAGGAGGGTCGCATCCTCCATTTGGAGGCGGCCCCACTCAGCACTCGACAAGCCAAGTAGGGAATCACTCCCACCCTCCGAAATAGGACCAGCGTCCGAAGGAGTATCAACTGCGGCCGCAAGAACCCGATCCTGACCGTCACTTGCCGATTTGCAACGGCCCGAACCCAAGAAACAAGTGCAATCCGGGGCGATCGGCAGGCGTGATAGGGCATCGGCATTGGTGTGGCGAATCCCCTTCCGGTAAGTTGTTTCAAAATCGAAATCCTGCATGATCTCGAGCCATCGGGACAACTGCCCCGATGGCTGGTTAATTCGTAGGGCATACTGCAATGCCGCATGATCTGTACGGACGGTGAAATGCCGGCCGTACAGATATGGCCGGTACTGTTGGATAAAGAACACGATAGCCAACAGTTCGCGGCGGGTGACGCAGTACCGCTGCTCGGCCGGGGACAGTACTCTACTACCATAAGCCACAACGCGCTCCACGCCACCCACAATTTGTGACAGCACGCCTCCAATCCCGGTATTGCTCGCGTCCGTGTCGAGCACGAACGGCATGGAAAAATCGGGGTAGCTTAACGGCGGGGCCCCCACCAGGGCATCCCGAAGAGAGACAAAAGCGGCGTTCTCCACCGGCCCCCAATGAAATTTGACCCCTTTTGACGTCAAGGCATGTAGTGGCTTAGCGATGGAAGCAAAGTCCGCAACAAACCGACGGTAATATGAAGCAAAGCCGATGAAGCTTCTAACCTCCCCCACCGAGGTTGGGGTAGGCCAGGAGCTGACACAACGCGTTTTGGCGGGATCGGTTGAGATACCTGACCGGCCGACGATGTGACCCAAATATTTACAGGTTCGCGCAGCAAATGGCACTTTTGTGGCTTGAATTTCAAATTTGCAGCGCGCATCTTGAGAAAGACGGCCCGAAGCCTATCAAGGTGTTCCTCGAACGTCTTACTGAATACGATAACGTCATCCAGGTAAATCAAACACACCTCCCATTGCAAGCCAGCGAGGACCAATTCCATCAGGCGCTGGAACGTCGCGGGAGCAGAGTGTAATCCCATGGGTAAGCGATTGAATTGGAAGAGGCCGTGCGGCGTTCGGAAAGCAGTTTTGGGTCTAGATTCGTCGTCCAAGGGAAGTTGCCAAAATCCTGAGAGCAAATCCAAAGTGGAAAAGAATCGCGATCCCGCGAGGGCATCCAGCGATTCGTCCATTCGAGGAAGCGGATAAGCATCGGCCACCGAGATCTTATTTAATCGCCGGAAATCAACGCAGAACCTTAGGGACCCGTCGTGCTTTTTAACCAACACTATGGGTGCACCCCAAGGGCTGGTTGAGGGAGAAATTATGTCCGATTTCAACATGTCATCTACAGCCGATTTGACATGATCCTTTTCGGCGGGACTTAACCGAAAAGGATTCTGGCGGATAGGAGCGTTGTCACCGGTGTCAATATGGTGGCGTAGCAATTCGGTACATCCGATATCGTATTTATGTTTACTGAAAACGTCGGAAAATTCTCGCAATAAGGCGCGTAATTTAGCACGTTGTGCGTCGGACAGGTCAGGTGACTCAGCACACAACGCATCCAGCCAACCCTCGTCAGCGTCTGAGGCTAATCGCGTATGAGAATCGGTGGCCACCTGGCCAACGATTGGCGTTTCCGCAGGTACCGGAACCGCATGTGCGAACACGGTACCTTGCGAAACCACTGCCGTCCGTGTCCCGACATTGAGGACCGCGATAAACGGGTCCCCATCCCCTTTAACAATAGTCTGGGCCGTTACCAGATCTGGCCCACTCACCCCGGCTCTAGATGGTCCCAAAATAACGCCTCGGTCAGAGACCCCTTTATCGAACGGACGACGCAAGCGCAGGGGTACCAACATCTGTGCCCCCGGGGGTACACGCACCGTCCGAGCAACAAGCGCCTGTACCGTAGCACAGGCAACACGCACGGCAGGGGTGGCAGGTAGGAACGTCATACGTCGGCCTGATGGAAGCTCGATGCATTGCTGGTCAATCAGAATTTTGATGGGCAATTTGGCCAAAAAGTCTGTCCCCAACAGGCACGGAATAGCCAGCGAGGAAGAGACGAACACCGGCCCAGATAGTTTAATGTCCCCTATGGAAATTTGCGCTCGAATTTGACCGATAATACCCAACGAGCCCCCATTTGCAGCGTAAAACGGTATATCGACAGGGAGCAACGGGCGACTCTGAACGGGCAGAATATTATAAATCAAATCCGAAATGATAGTTGCCGAAGCTCCCGTATCGACCAATAACCGTACCTCCACCCCGTCAATATGTCCCGCGACAACGGACGACCCCGCCGATGCAGCCACAACTCGGTGAGCCAACTCGGACCATTGGCCCGGTTGGAGCGCCCTCCCCGACATGCCGCAACCCGACGCACCAGCACCCAACCCCCGAGAATTGTGTGTCGGACCATGTGATAGGAAAGTGGGTGTGTGTGCAGGCCGAACATGTGGGGTGCCATGACTTGCCCGAGGATGTTGCGAAGGCTTGTGAGGAGGGCCGTCCGCAGCTCCAGGTCTCGCACCGCGCTGTCGAGGAGCCCGGCATCCGGACGCCACGTGACCCCGGAGGCCACAATTATAGCAGACGACGAGCGTTCCAGAGGACTTGGGCTGGTCTCGGTGGCTTGGGACGTCCCGAGCTGGACGCTCGGCAGATCGCCACAATACCTGCAGGGCCGGCAGACGTTGCTGGAATGTCGGCTCCGTCTCCGATCCTCTTGCAGCATCCGTAGCGCGTCCCCGTACAGTATGAGTAATGGCGGACTCTAATGGGTGTCGCGCCGTCAGTGACGTGTTGGTCGGGGCTTGGTCGGTGCTGGCGTCCGCTGGTGGTGACGTCGCAACCCCTGACAGGCCGCCACCGCGACCCGCCTCCGCCGATGACGTGGCGGCTGCTGGCTGGGCACCGTCCCCCGCGTGACGAGCTGGGACTCCTCCCTCCGCCCCTACTGTCTGTGAGGCGGGAATTTCGAGTCGCCCCGCTGTTGTAAAGGCGGGAGTTTCTGGCGGGCGTTGTCCATCTTCCCGCCGCGTCGCTCCTCCCGGCCCCAGGCGAGTTATTTGTTCGAGCATAGCGGCCGCTGCATACAAGAGCTCCGCCAGCCGCGAGTGAGCCAACGCCAACTCGTCAGTCGATGTCCCGGCCCTCTCCGACGACCCCGCCGATGTCGGAGCCGGCAGCAGTTGTGCAGGTACGTCGGCGGCGATGTCTTGCACTGCCCCTCCCTCGTCGTCATCCTCTCCTGGGTCTTGGGCACGAGTCTTCCGTCTCGTATCCATGCTTGGACCACTTCTAACACCAGATGTAGTAAGTAGCGGAGGAGACGATGTCGAAGTTGAGACACACTGTTTATTAACTCCGGGACAGATACAATAGTTGAAGGGGTATCGGCCCCTTCACCCGTACTATGGGAAACCCACCCTAGTACTAAGCCCTCTGTCCTGTCCCCCAGTCCTCCTCTACTGGGCTACGGGAGGCTGACTGATCTGGCCCTGGCAAGCACAGATCTCGGCACCAGCTAACCAGCCTTGCCCTGACAAGGGCAGCGGTCTGGAAGCTCCTGGGCCGCGCCACTGGCTTACCCGGCTCGGCCCTTATAAGGACGGCGAGACCGGGGAGTCCCAGGGCCTAATCTCCGAGTCTTGGATCTTCACTGGTCAGCTTCGTGTCGAACTGAACTCGAGCTCTTTGGGTTCCACCTTTTATAGGGATCGCCTCCAAGGGCTGGGGGCGTGGGCAATAACTGATGCGGACGTCGGTGTGACCACCCGTGTATGTGAGTGCCGACAGCCCTGTGTTTGTTGTCCGCTGTTTCTCCCGTAATAACCCCTACACATGCATACATATACAGGTAGTCCCCAACTTACGATGGTCTGACTTACGATATTTCGATTTTACGATGGCGATAGCGATATGACAAATTTGTAAAATATTTTACATTTCGCGCGGCAGGCAAACGCAGCAGCGCACAAGGTACGATACTGTATGTTGGGACGCTGCCGGGATGTACTGTACGCATATAGTTTATACAGTACGGTACTGTAAATTGCTCTGTTTTGCTAAATTATCACTATTCTTTAAGACTCCTGGGTAGGCTAGGCCATCTTCGACTTACGATATTTTCGACTTACGATGGGGTTGTCGTAACGCATCTCCATCGTAAGTCGGGGACTACCTGTATATGCATGTTGAACTTTCGTAGCGTACGTAGCCAACCGTGCTAACCCTCCCTTTGGGGTCCATGACATCCACGTAGTCAGTTGATGGCCCGAGTCTAGTCATCACATGCCCGGTCATCAATGCTACAACAGTGCTATCACGTGAAATGTTGGTATCTGCTTAGTTTGGCAAAATTTCAGCTCTGAGCATTAAAATCTGGATTTCACTGCGGTGTGATGAACATTGCTCTCATATGTGTTAACCAGTTCACGTGAAGTGATCTCAGAGGTAGCTCTCTCACATCCACTCCCTTGGGTCATTCGCAAAACACGATTGTTTGCACTATCATACAAAGGAGAGATATCCCAGCTTGATATTGCATCTCATGACATGACTCCGACCGACAGTACAATTTGGATGAATTTTTTTGGGGGGGACATTTTTAATAGACAAAAAAACCGCGTGCAATTGTGGGAAGTTATCATATGGAGTGACACAGGAATGTGGAATTTACAGACTCTAAACACAAGGTCACTTTTGGCCAAACATTACAAACTGAATTACGATCTATGATTAAGTTTGTTTTGACCGAGGTCATATGTTGTCTTCCCCAGGTGCAGTGGGTCCATTCTCCAGGTCAGAGCCGGGTGCTGTTGCTCATGTCGGCTGGGTTGGATGGGTGCGTGATGACGTGGAGAGTGGAGCTGAGCACAAGGAAAATCACCCCAAACAACAGGGTTGTGCTCCTAGCAAAGCATCTTCCCGGCACCTCCAACCTCAGCAAAGTAAGTCGTACATCGAGTGGAGGAACTCAACTTTTCTACATAGAAACAAAAGTCGAGAAATCTGGCAAGCTACCAAACTTGGAAAACAAGGAACGCAAGTGACGTGGGGACTGTGCAAATCCCTGAAGACAGAAATTCAAGTTGTTTAATTAGCATTCAATTCAAATGCTTCACAGTGAAATAGTCAAATCTAGGTAATATAACAAATAATATGCTGTAAAATAGGCAACTTAACTCTCAAAGCACATCCTTCTGGCATTAAAACACACGAGCACTCAATTAATATTTATTGTAAACGCCAAATCTGAAGAAGAGTATCACATGCTGATGGATAGGACATCTGAATGAAGCTGCACGATCAGTCGATTAACATGCATTTGTTTTGCACGGTTGCTAGAAAGAGGAGCACGCTCATTGGAGAAAATCCGCAGGTTAAATAAAATCTCGCAAACTGTGGACACGTTGCTAGACGGAATGATGGCCGATTTTCAAGCATAGTGATGAATTAAGAGCCAAGGAATGGAGTGCGTCCTCAGAGGATAGGATCTAGACCGAAGAGACGGAGCGATGAAATCAGGTGCTAGGCTGGATAGTTGCATTTTGGAGCCACGAGAGATAGCAGTCGCTTGTGGGTGGAGGAAGCCTTCACCCAGCAGTGGACTGACCATGGCTGTTTATGATGATGGTTCGCCACGGACTGTAAATGTGACCCCGTCTGCACGTTCTCACTTCGTGGCTATGCCTTCAAAATTTCTCGCAAAAAATCCTGGGCTTGCTTGCGTGTTTGTCCACATTGACCGTGCAGGTACAGAGTGAGCTGCCTCTGGGCATCACGGCATTCTCACTCTCGGAGGATTCATCCATGTGCGTGGCTGGGCTGGAGGGCGGGCAGGTGGTCAGGTGTCCCCTGGATCCTCTCGAGCAACCAACTCGAAAAGACCAGCCGCCTTTAAACACGAAGAGCCCAGCCTTGTTCCCCTTCGTGAAGCACCAAGGACCGGTGTACGCTGTTAACTTCTCTCCTTTCAACAGGTACGGCATCCCTCAGCTTCACTGTCACTGCTCCGTAGCCGAGCGGTAGCACTGTTGTCGCTTGTTGTCAGAGGTATGCGGTTCAGAGCCCATCGGCCACCCTGTTTAAATACTGCAGGCTGTATTTACCTTGTATCGTCGTCTTCTTCTTTTACAGTGGATGTTAAGAGATCACCTTGACATTATTTGAAAAATAGCTGGCCACGTGTGCCGGTGTCGTGGGTCCAAATTTGATAAACGATTAGCAAATTACTTAATTGGGAGAAAAAAAAACTGCATATTGGCAGACTAATGCTCATTTTCGTGCTGGGTTTCCGTACACTTTGTTATGCAGTTATAGCTGCCACTGGGGGTGCCGCTTGGTTAGACTGCAGCAGGTCAGTCTCATGCTCTATAAACACATCCTTAACCTTATTCATGTATAATTTCCTAATTAGATCATTTATTTATACTGGAGGAATCCGATGAGCTATGAAGCTCTTTTTTTTTTTTACAGAAGTCCAGGAGTTTTACAGATGTCCAATTCACACACGTGGTGTGTCTGTGTGTGCAAGCTGGTACTGTTACAGAATGACCCAGCAATGCTAACTATGCTCTCAGCGAAAACAGCTACTGTCGCAAAGGTAATAAAACTAAAAAAATAAGTTGTCTCGGTAGATTGCGGTTATTGAAGAACAAGCTAAGCCATGTTTTTCATTGTCAAAGTAAACGTGCGTTTAGTCTGTCGACCGACGAAGCCATGGAGTTCAATGTCGTTGAGCCTCCCTGGCTCAACGGCGACCTTACAAAGGTGACCTTGCAAAGGTTGAAACCCCAAATAGGTGAATTAACCAAAAACACAAAGGCGATGAGATTCACGCGTAGATCCTTTCACACACGCTGCGGCCGCGTTTGCGTCCGTGTTTTTAGGAACGCGTTTCTGAGCGGCGGCATAGACGGGCAGGTGCGCGTGTTCTCAGCGCTGCTTCACGACCCCGTTCTCGTGGTGCGCGCCGCAACCTCCTACGTCCTGGCCGCTGCCTGGTCGCCCGCGCGGCCCCTGGTGCTCGCCGCATCAACTGCAGAAGGTAGTAGACGCTCTGACCTTGATCCTACTGCAAAGGCAATCGATGATCTGACCTTGCTCCTACTGCGAAGGTAGCGGAAGCAAGGTTTGAGGAAATGGGCGGAAGTCAACGGAAAGCAGTGAGATTTTATGCCAGGAAACAAGGTGGGCTGCAGGTAACATTTCTATGCCTGCTGGACATCTGTGAAAAGGGCTTTACGGCTCATCAGATTCCTCCAGCATAAATACATATGCTGATTCTAATGTGATAAACAAAAAATAAATCACGCAATTTTTCATTGGGCTTGTTCGATATGGGAAGTATCCCAGACAGTATGAAAATCATTGATAAGATTTAAAGTTGATCTTTTTAAAAATGATTTTTTATTGTGTGTGTATATATATAACTCTGCATTCTTAAATATGTATAATTGTTCGAGTGATAAGTGAAGAAATATCTAAAACTGTTCTCCCCACACAATTCCACACAACGCTCCGTGCTTGTTTGTTTAGAAGTCCAGTGTCCAGCTCGTCCGTCCGCCATGGGCAGGAATTCCACACAACTCCCCCTCTGCCCCCCCCCCCCTCTCTCTATTGTAGGCCTCGATATAGAGACGTTGTCTTTCTGTGTGCCTATGTGTGTCTCTCTCTGTCTCTGTGTGAGTCTCTCTCTGCTTGTGTGTCTTGTCTGTGTGTCTATGTTGTGTGTCTCTCTCTGTGTGTCTCTGTCTCTCTCTGCTTGTGTGACTGTCTGTGTGTGTCTCTCTTTGTGTGTCTATGTTGTGTGTCTCTCTGTGTGTCTGTGTCTATATGTGTGTCTCTCTCTGTTTGTCTATGTGTGAGTCTCTCTCTGCTTGTGTGTGTGTCTCTCTCTGTGTCTATGTTGTGTGTCTCTCTATGTGTGTCTGTGTGTCTATGTGTGTGTCTCTCTCTGTTTGTCTCTGTGTGAGTCTCTCTCTGCTTGTGTGTCTGTCTGTGTCTCCGTGTCTATGTTTTGTCTCTCTCAAATTTAGCAATCTTTGGAAGAACGTTAATCAACCAGGTGGAGTGTTGACTGTTGTTGGCTGACTCTGTGTTGTATTGCATTGTATTTCCAAGTTTACTAGGTTTGTTTTCTCATTCATTTGTCCCTAATGATGGTTGCTTGTGTTGCAATCGAAACGTCGTATTCTATTATTTAATTTCTACGTGACTTTACCGAAAGAACCAAAGAGTAATTCCTGCAGTCACGAAAGCCTCAAATCTAGTTTGTTCTCTCCAGTTTGGCTGGGTGAAAAGTGGTGATGCTTGTGTAATTACTGGCTCAAACTTAACGAACATAAATCAGTTGCCTCCTTATAGCTCTTTTGCTACAACCATGGTCACCGTTCCTACACTTCACTCGCCGTTTCTTCCACCCACCCATATTGAGGGACTCAGTCTCCCGAACCGTTTCGTCTCATCCACACTGTGCTCCACCGCCGCACTGGAGGTCACAACAATTATCTTTCCGCTTCTTCCCTCACACTTTGGAATCTCCTCCCTTTTGTCTATTTTTACCCAAATTCTCATTACTTTTCTCAATTCAAGAAACGTATTCACTCTTTATTTTGTACACATTCATTCGTGCCGTTTGCTGCTGCGTGATCAGACTTTAAGAATTTAATTGGCACCAGATAGTTAGCGACTGAATGTTCACAGCAGCCCCTTACAATAACACGATACTCTTTGGTTCTTTCGGTAAAGTCACGTATGTGAAAGAAAAAAAACTAGAATAACACGATAGTTGAATAAATGAATTCACACTGAGTACAGTCAAAAACTGAATCGCCGACATGGCGACTTTTTTCCCCACTGTCCACTCTTATATTTTGAAAATTTGTATTTTACATCCTTCTGTCCCACAATTTAGTTATTTTCAAAATGACCCAAAAGGCTTTGGGTGCATCTCACTTTCCGGAGCAGGTTATAATCCGGAGTGTGGAATTTATTCCTCAAACTCCAGAAACGTTGCCAACTCTACATCTCTGCAGATCGGGACTTCTGTTGCAATCCCCAAAAATGCTTTCGCCATCGTCTGTGCAAAACGAAATACAAGCTACTGGTCTAGGACTGTTCAATGCTGACACGCCGTGTCATGTCGACGTTTCTTTGCAGGTGAACTACTGTTATTTGACCTGGCCATTAAGGACAGTGGTCCCGTACACTGCATACAAGCAAGTCCAAGTTTGAGTCCAGTCTCCTGCCTCGCCTTCAACCCAAAGCAACCGGGACTGTTGGCAGTGGGTTTACAGTCTGGAGCAGCGCGTGTCTGGACCCTGCCTCCGGAGTTAATTGTCCCCGGAGTTCACGAGACGGATCGTCTTAAGCAGTTGGTCAGTGCAACTAGCGACTAAAGTGTTCAGACTAAAGCCGAACTAGATTTAACGTACACGATGCACTTGGACAACGTCTCTTATTGTCAACTTGGAACATGGACCGTTATCTTGCCGTTGAAAATGTTCAAATAAATGGCGCACGAATTGAAAAGTCTTGAGACACACTTGGGAGGCTGAGCACTCACGAATTGCCAACACATGACCCATCAACATCACAAAAGAGAAAACAGAAGCACGCAAACATAACCAGTCAAGTAAACAGATTTTATTTGTATACAGAAAACCAGGCTTCAACTTCAGTAGCAACATAGGAGCATACGCGATTTCATCCGTGCGTTTTGAGGTATCGCGATGTTGTCGTTTTCACCATGACCGTTTCAAAAGCCAGTCGTCAACCCCTACGGTACGAATCACTTCCTGACGCTGAAAATACGCCGGAGAGCTTCCTCACAAATTACAGTGCCTCCGCTGAAAAACACCCAATTAAAAATCACGCGAGCAACAGCACAACGCGTTGATATGCGTGGCAACGCGACCCATTGGTGGAAAACTGTTTAAAGAAAAAAAACAATAGTTGACCAGCAGATATTTGTGTACATTCACGATTGTAATTGCCAGCTCAGGAATAAGTAGTAAGCCTGTTGTACCAACTTTTCTGAAATATGCTAAGGTTTGTTAAAGGGCACATTCAATGCAGCTGTGGTAAGTTAAAATAGATGCAGATACCATCATCAAAACTAAATTAAAACTAAACCTTTTATAGTTATTTTACCAGGTAAATCCACGTGACCACGAGGAGTGACATGCAATCTCCAAATATACAACAGGTGTCGGTGTCGGGATCGAAACCACGACCTCCTGTATACCAGGCGAGGAAGTTAACATCTCACCACCGTGATATTTTGTTACGTAACAGATGCACGGCAGAGTGGGCTTCTTCTGGGCGCGATAGCAAGTAGTCCATGGGCCAGAGCAGATGTCGGTACCACCTAATGTAGCAAAACCTTAGCTGTAACAATGTATTAATGGCAAATGAGTGGATTATTTGATAATAGTAGACAATTACTTTATTAGTAAACATGTCGCTTGATAACCCACTCATTTTAAATGGTCGTAATTCACCGTCATTGGTCACGTAAAGAAATTGGAGCCGATAAAGTTACGCCACCTCAGGTGGTACTGACAAGTGAAATATCTGGCCTAGGCTCATGGACAAAAAAGCAGTTAAATGTCGGCCTCAGACTCGCTCAGTATGAGTAGTTTGGGCAGCAGGCTGTAACAGCCTGCTTCTTTCCACACATCAGTAACTAACTTAACGGCTGGACGCAAGCAATTAATGCTTTTGTGGTTGCATTGTCCTTGTACTGCTCGCATTCTGGGTGTAGCACTGGTGAGATGATGCCACAAAGGAGGCCGTCTCTGGTGCAGGCCAATCGGTTTCAAGGACTGCATATATTATCAAAGCATATTTGCGTTTTATAGCACAAGAATGTGTGGTCGCGCATATTACGATGCCTGGCAATGGGAGTCTGCTTGGGTGTCTTAACTTCTTAACACCTGTAGTTACACTCCTCCAGAGGTGTCGTCTCAATACCCATATTCTCTGCTTCTGTAGAACCCAGAAGCACAATTGCCAGCTTCAGTAAACGTTAATAGAGTATAAATTAAGGAATTTGCTAGATCAGTAAACACTGGATTACTAATGCCTGTACAAATGACTTTACATTCCAAAAGCCAAACACTGCAACGTAGCTGTAAAACATGATGGCATATTTTAGTTTATGCTAAAGTATGACAATTCTTTTTTTTAAAGCTGTGCTCTTGTGGAATACTTTAATGTTGACAGCAGTGCACGACTTATTCAACTTTTCCCAATGTGCCATTGCCCATCATCATGAGTCGCTCGAAGCGGTCGGTCGTAGGAAAGGAGGTGGAGGCGGCCGCGATTGGGGTTCATCTTTACGTCGGTGCTTTCGTCACCCTCCGCAGGGAAATGGCGCAAAAAATATCGCGGGGAGGGGAATTTGTCCAGATGATTGCCGATGGAATCGCGGACTCAACAACGCAAGTTGTGCACGCACGAGACTCTCTCAAAGGATCGGCACTGTAATTGTATTTAAAGTTGGCAGCATTTTTAAATCCTTTATATTAACTTCACTTGCTTGCTTGCTTAGGACCGTGCAAATCTTTCGGTGGTTTTTTAACCCACTTCCCATGATCCAATCGAGCTGACATTTTCCACACAGACTCGTTGTGCGTGACAATTAATGTTCGTGAAAATTTTTTTTCCAAAATTGTACACTTTTTAGGACAAAAATATTATATTTAATTACCAATTGCTTAATGCTGCCATGCAATCATCTGACCCATAGGTGGCAGCCATCTCAAGCCAGAGGACGAGAGGACTCTAGCCGCCACGCATATAAAGGATTTGTAGTGAAAAACTTTGTTTTTACGGGTTATACTTGTTATCGCTCACCCTGCTTATCATTTAAGACAAATGCTCGGAAACGCCATGGGAAGGAACTTTCTGGGTTTTTGTTGTTGTTGAATACTGCAAGTACAAAATACTGGTCTCATATTTTGGCTTTGAAGCCGGCAGAAAAAGCCCAGAAACTCAGACACATTCAAGTAACTTCAGAGATTCCTATGCCATTACCAAAGTACAAAATAACCACAAGTGAAAACATTTCAAACCAGCCACAGCAAGCCAGGATTCTTTGGTTCATTGTATCTGCCCTATAAAAATGACCTCAAACTGTATGTTCATTATGTTCACAAAGACTATTGGGGGCACTGTATATTTAAACAAAGGGTAGGTTTTCTTTTTTTACAATCTTTTTAAAACAAGGCTACAAATTTTGTTCTACTTTATAACTTGATATGGATATTGGATATAAAATACTTTTACAAAGATGATTACAAAGAAATTAAAACAAATTATACAGTGGAATTCAACAGGGTGGTTTTGGCTTCTATTTGTACTTTTTACACTTATCGTTTTATCTTTATCTAATCGTACGAAAAAAAACTAAGCTAAGTGACAATCCTAAAGGTCAGCCACGGTGACACGCAAGTGATCCTTCATAACCTCGTAGCTGATTGGATTCTTCCAAGATAAATAAAGATTCTGATGCCTATGAGAAGCGTTTGTTTCCGATGTCTACAGAGCATACACACTGAGATGTCAGCACGGACAACACATGCATTAAAGCTCAACGTTAAGTGGTTATCAAAGTTATCAAAACGCACTAATAAATATTTTACAAGATGCCACATTTGCCCAAAAAGGTTTCCCATTAAAAACAATTCTCGCCTTAAAACAAAAATAAATCCGCATTTTGTATCAGGCTTGCAAACTGACCTTGTGTTTGCCTGTGCTATAAAAACATGAAAATTGCAACTATAATTCGCACGCACAGTCGCAGAAGTTCGAAAGCACACGAGCGTGTGGATGCTGTGATTTAAAATACGCACTCTCGTAAGGATTATCACAGTGCACATTCTTCCAGGCCACCGTAGCGCATTAAACAGAACCTTGGACTTGCACAACTTCACGTCTAAAAACACAGCCGGCTGTATAAGGCACACAGAGGCTGCTTTGCTTTATTGCATCAAGCGATGAACCATTTCTTTCTCCGTGTATGGACCGTACGTTGACCTTCTTTCGCACCGTACGTACCCAACCGTGCGAATTGTAGGCGAGAATGATGGTTGCAGTGCATCACAGACAAGAATCCCTCAGCTGTCATTTGTATTGTAATGAGTGTTGCAAGCTGAAAGCACATCTTGCTTATGTCCATATTTGCACCACTCCCACTAACCAAAGTCTCGTGTCCCACGTGTCTCATTCAGTACTCAAAACACCACCGGCGTGGCAATTCAATATTGCCCATTAATGTGGAACGGAATCTTGCACAGTAACTCAAAAAGGCAGCTCATGAACACATGAAGATGGAAACACATTTTAAGACAAATAGGGCAACTTATTTAAGCCTGTGCTGATGATACACTATCGAAGGCAAAGTCCACAGTTTGCTTGTATTTAATCAATACTGCTGGAATTATGCACTCCTCAATGCCTTGTGGCCAATGGGATTTGTAAAAACACTTTTTTTACGTGAAGACGACATCACGTCTTATACGTAGGCTTTCATGATCAATGTTACGATTCATAATGAGTTACGCTTGGGTTTGATCACGTAGGTATAATGCCAATCTTTAACTATAACCCACCACCACAAGACAGAGCCAACCAAGTCAATCTGTCACGTGAACAAATATGCCACTTGATTCAGAAAACCGGAATGTTGAAGATAAAGCAAACATTTTAGTTTTTTAGATAAAATTGTCAAAACTTTGCTTGCTTTTCAACATTTCTCCGTTTGTGCCGGTACACCAAATTAATTGGTGCATTTACCCGTGCGATGCGTCAACTTTGACTTGACCGGCTCCGTCGGGTACAGCTGAAAGCGTGAATTACATCAGTGTCCGCTCCGTTTTTTTTGCGGCGCACTGTGGCAGCTATTGCTCGCGGAACGTTCGAGGCGACTCGCTGGCTCGATCGGACGCTGCTCCCGTCACACGAACGGGTTTAATTGTCTTTTATATTAAACCCGATCATCTGAGATTGGGAGAAATCCGGTTTAACTGGTTCTAAAAAAAAAAAACCCCCGATGCCTGCCGCTGGAAAAATTGGGTTTTTTCCACCTATGCCACTTTGGCTTCCATAATCACACGTGGAGACCAAAACAAGAGGGCTTCTTCGCCAATTCAGGCAAATTGCCCCCAGCGAAAATCTCGCGGTACTCAAATTGTAAACGTTGCGGGTTTACTCTCCAACACACCGGCGTGCTGAAGTAGCAACTAATGGGCGCGTTTTGTTTACGTGACAAACCTTACTAATTGGCTGCGTCAGGTGGTGGTGGGGGTGGTGGGTTTAATGGCACATTCATATTTACGCGATCTAACCCAAAACACATTTATCATGGATATTGGTCGCAATAGTCCGTGTTAAGCAAACAAAATCCCCCCGACATTTTCATAACAGCAATGAATAATATAGATTTGTTTCAATATAAACACTGGTCATATGTCTGGCATCAATTTAGTCTGCATTTAATCTGCATACAGCATTTTCAGCTACACAATACATAGGCTAAGATTAATTACTACAATTACCAGCAGACTTGACAGTCTGTTTTAAGTACGCGGCCGTGTATGGCAAGCGTACGGAGAGAGTTTTGGGCTCACAGAGTTTGTCGCATGATGATTTGTAAACTGCTCCACCTGTATACGGCTAAAAAATATCAATGCACGCTTAGGGAAATGCAATAATTTTCTGTGGGGGTGAGCAGCAGAAGACAATGGGAGGTAGCTTATGATGAAAGCGAGTTGCATGGTTTAGTGTATCGCATTAAAAACAGATTGCCTTGTTTACTATTTAATGAGGCTATATTTGCACGGCTGTTTCAATTTCACCCAATGTTCCGATATATAGGTCACGTTTGAATTTGTTGATATAGATTTTATTTAAATTAGATTACATCCCGCCTTTTAAAAAATCGTTTTGCTTACAACAGCTGCTGGTGATACGCAAAACACGAGTGTGTCAATGTTCTTATTATAACTAACATTATTTTCTGATTGTTGATGCTTGTTTGACCAGGAAATTTTCACCGAGTCCCAAGACTATTTTCAGGAGGGTCCTACCGAATATTCGTAGCAGAGTGGGGGTGCGGGGGCGATGTTACTGCTATGTTATAATCACAATTTCAGTAACTTGGAGGGTAATTTTGCAGAATTTGCATATTTGGCCTATACCCCTTGCACTGTACGTAGTTTAATCATAATTGGCTTCATCAAGACATGGGAGCAATATTTGAGCTGTATTGGAGAGAACGCACCTTTTACAATACGACCTCGATAGTTTTACAACTACTGTGAGTAAGCAAACATTTTTAAACAAATGGTAACATGTTCACGATTAAAGTAGGTCCAAATTCATTGAAAATGCCGTACGTTATATTTAGATGACATTAAATACATAAAAAAACAACCTCTTTATTGATGGGAGATGCCATTGGAGATGTCATTTTAACAAACGTGTTCAGAGCAAGATTATATTCAAAGCCGAAAAAAAAACACAGTAAACTCGATTATCCGCGTGCGGTTTAGCCGATCTGCGGATTAACCGCGCACCTGAGATTTTGATATCAATTAATAACTCGTGGATTTTCCCTCAAGCCCAAATTAATAATCTAAAAACAATTATACAAACAAGTCACGTGCTTAAACCGAACAAATATGTTGCTCCGGTTAATCCGAAATGCACGTGATCGCCTCTACAGTACAGTAGTTGCATATTTTTTATAACAGTGGGAGGAGTTTGATTAATATTGATTGGCATGGCTCTGCTATCCACTTAGTGGGCCAAGTCGTCTGCACGGGAGCAAGAAAGTGTTATCACTGAGCACGCGCATCGATTGGTCAATCGTTAATATTCATTCTTAATTTATACATGTATTAGTGGATCTGTGGAAAATAGATATTTTTGGATTATGCGCGATTTAGAATTATCCGCATCCGTCCTCCCCATCATTAACGTGGATAATCGAGTCGACTAATTTCAAATTACGGAGATTATTTCAAGCGGGAATTTAGGATACAGTACTGTATTACAGTAAGTCCTTTTTGCATGAAAAATGATAAAGGAACATACTTTCTTTTTTAAACAAGCTTTACGGTGACTTGTATTTACGGATACTCACTCGGAGATATTACAGGGTAAATTTTTCTTATAAAAAGAGGCGATTATTTGAACGTTTCTATGGCTTATCGATTATTGTACGATTTGTCCATTCTCGTCGTGGCCCTCATTCAGCAGTGGTTTGACGAAGGGCTGTACGTGTACGCACAGCCATCGTCGTTCATTACGAACCTTTTTGATATAAAGCGTTACACAGCGTGGTATAATATCATCAGCCAACGGCAACTGCAGAGCCAACTGGCATAACCCCATCATTGTGCTAGGTAAAAAATATTTTAAAAATGTGTTGCGGAACATCAAAACCATTCGATTAAATTTCAGGACTTTTTTGTGTGTGTGCGAAATGCACACGTGAATTGTTCGGATTAACCAGAGCAACACAACAATGAACCATTCTCAACGAGCCTTAAATTATATTATTAAGAACGGCATGTCCTTTGGGGTTCGAGCCCAGCGGGCTCCCTGATTAATACTGTGGTTGTGATAACCATAATAACACTACACGCCATCCGCTTCACAGTGCACGTTAGAAGACCCCCTGGAGTAATTAGAACAAGTCTACGTGGCTCTTGTGTGCCGGTGTCATGCTCCAAATTTGCCAAATTAGAACAAAAATATCCAAAATTTACACCGAGCAAGTATTCCCCCCCCCACGTCCCCCTCACCTCCACCTAATGCCCATTTGCAGGCTGAGCCACCTTGTGCCCAGAGACATCTCCCACCAAGGGAAGCTCTTTAAAATGAGACGTAAGGCGCATATCGCTGTCAGATGCCCCTGCGAAGAGGCCCGCTCTGTCAAAAAATCAAATCGGTGTTATGTAAATATGGGGTGGCAATACATTGTTTAGATACCCAACTGATTTCCGATGCCCCTCTCTTACTTCCTACTCAACAGCTGATTGAGTATTGTGAAAGCGATGGCTCCGTGTCGCACGGGGGGATAGCGTTACGAGATGAAACACGTGCGGAGAGATTGGAAACAACAATAAAATGTTGTTTCCTCTCATATTGTCACCCGATTATTTTACCGGGACATCTATAACTTGTTCGCCCCGTACATTATTTAAATTGCCTCCTGGTGTAATTGTGCAGTACCGACTTCGTTTTTAATGCCTATATTCAAAACTGTTGCCAGAATGAGATTCGCATTGGCGCGATTTCACTTGCGTTGATCTTGCACTCCTCGGGGGGAGATCGAACCCCGGAAAGAGAGATAGAGACGTGGGCCTCGCGATCCCACTGCATCATTGCTACCGTCTCGTCAGCCACCAAGGGGCGCACAAAGTCAAGCCACTCGTCCTGCGCGCGCGTGCAGGACACAAACGTCGTCGTACACATTGGTAAAAGATCCGTTTAAAACTACTTCAATTTCCAGCCCTGAATATTTGCCAGCACAATCCCTGAGTAGTAGCGCACACACACGGTCCTGAGATTACACTTTGAAAAAGATTCGGTTATATATCAAGAAAGGACAATAATACAAGAGAGAGAGAGAGAGAAAGACGGCGCACGCGCGCACGAGAACGCACGACCACACGAAACAACACACACACCGCCGCCGTCTCTACACTTGCTGTGACGAGCAGCATCAGGTCACGCTTTGGTAGGAAATTCTTGCATTGGCGGTGCCGGCAACGGACGGTCTACTCAACGATCCTAAACTTCTAATTAAGTCGAACGCGCCACAAGATTCAGCACGCCACTCCCAGCACACAACGGTTAGCATTCGTAATGGAGCGACCAAACACACCCCAGCAATTTTGTGACAACCCTACAGCGCCGTACTCTCACCCTCACGCGTCTCTCGCCAGAGGGCAAGAATTATATCCATGGAGCCAATGACATGTAACCCATCTCAACCAGCTACGTGTCATGTTTGTACCATAACGTTGCATTTTTATATCTTGAGCTTTGTTTTTGAATTCCAAGAATAATTAATCACACGCATGCTATAAACACAGATAATACTTTAAACAATATGGACACAGCATCAAATTATAGATACAGCTCGCGCATACCATAATGCAACCCGCAAAATCTAAAATGCCACGTTAAATTCCACATCATTAAAAATACTTGACAAAATAATTCTTTAGCTTTGGCTGAATTTGATCAATTTCCATTAAAATTTCCTTCAATCTTTTTTGTGTCTTTTCTTCATATTTACTTGGACGAGGAAGGAAAACACCATTAATAGATGTTACCACTTCCAATTCACGCCCCTACAAATGCAATTCTCATACAAATGAGTAAAAAAAAAATGTGCATAACCTTAGACACTTTTTTGACTTTATAGAATTATATGGTAACAATGGACACTCATTTTTTGTTTTTAAATGTTTACCATTTCATTCCTCCCAATTATTTTTTAAATGCAAACAAAGCATGCTCAAGACTTATCCGTCGCTTAAATTTCAAAGGAAGTCCCCAAGTCGAATTTTAAACCCTATGTCCTTGTTTTTCCCTCTCTTCATCACTACCGCGTACACTTTTGTTGAGGATGTCCTAGCATCGGCAGGGTGCGTCAGTCACCAAACCAGCAAAGCAATTGGGCAGCAGAGCCATTCGCTCTCCATTCACACAACATCATCTGCCACGTGTGGCCAAGTGTGTCCAAGTGTACAGTTCCCCCGTGTTTGGAATGGAACGCGCAAGAGCACATTGCTGTGTTATCATACTCTTAGGTTTTTTCGGTAAAGTCACGTAGGTAAAAATTAATAATACAATTTATAGAAATAGAAATAAAATAATAAATCACGAAGTTTCGGAGGCAACACAAGTCTCCGTCATCAGGTGGGACCGTCACAGCTAAATTTACTGTATCAAGTGAGGCAAAATTCCAAGCTCTTAAATACAATATTTATTATTTCATTTCTATTATTATTTCTATTATTTTCATTATTTATTTTTTACCTACGTGACTTTACCGAAAAAACCTGAGAGTATGAATCCTTGCAGTCACGAAAGCTTCAGATCTACAATATGCTGTGTTATCGTCTCGGCAGCAACGTTTACAACAACCAGCTAATGGCCAGCCAAGTCTCCTTGACTCCCTTCGAAAGGACATCTCCGCTTTGAGACCTCTTATATATCTCTCTGTCTCTGAGATAAAGGAGGCTACAATTCCATTGTCTAAGCGATTCGAACTTGCAAAGAAGAGCCCGACCAGGGATGAGTCCATTCTCGTAACTGGCAGAAATTGTTGCTCTGCTAATAAGTTTGCAGCTTTCAATAACAAAGCATGCACAGACATCGAGTCCGTGCATCAGAGCAGAATTCAATACCAGTTAAGGTTGCAAAGACTTTAGCAGTACCGATTCACTTAAAACGGCTAATACGAGCGACTCATTTCATAACCCGAAGTGGTCATCACGTAATCCACCGTTTATTGGCCAGGCCAAGGAATTGGACATTGCTAAAGTGGCATTTGGTCTGGGCTTGTAGACTGATCATGACATCAGAGGCGAATGTCTTGTGCCTTGCTTTGGCAGCTCGATTAACAACGATCCCCCGTGTATAGCCTTAACAGACTGTTGGGGCAAGTGCTGTTAGCGAACACCTATGAAGGCCAGAACGGAACACGAAGGGGTGGGTGGCCAGCACCACGTCCAGCCGCCTTTGTCTCCCTGGTAGCGATGTTTTTACGCTCCGCACCAGGTACTCATTTGAGGCTGTCGACTTCGGGGAGGCCCAGGACCGGTTCAGATAATCGTCGCTGATGTTGGCTGTGAGCGGGAATCGAGCCCGGGTCACCAGGTTCGTAGCGCAGCACGCTAATCGCTGCACCACCGCTCGATTAAACACTGCCACACGCGCACACAGATGTTGTATTATTTCCGCCTGTTTAAACAGGAACAAGACGATTTTTTTCCTCTTTTCTTTTTACATTCATATATCTTGACAAAAGCCTCTTTTGGCAACATTCATTCACAAATTTGCCATCCAACCTTTTGGAAAAAACTGAATGTGTAATAAAACAATATACAAAACGTGAATCTAATGTTGAAATGGGTAAAACCACGATAATTATATAAAAATGGTCTTTTGAAGAGAACGGCTTGTAATAATTATAATAATGTATTAAAAGTGAGTGCCTGACAATGCTTTGCTCACACCATGAATTCTTCCTAGAGTCCAAACAATGGCACCCAGGCTGCTTAATTGTGATATCGTAACTCAGTGTTTAGTACATTTCAGTAGTTAGCTCTAACAACCTTGCGGTCATTAGCAAAAAGAAAAAAACCAAATCTGCAAAGAATAAAGCATAACAAACTTTCTATGTCTACCATAATTGTATGATATATACATGTTTGAATTGTATTACGACTTTCAGATGCTAGCGTATGGTCAATGTTCATTGAATGGGTCTCAACTGTCAATAAACTTGGTCAAATGAACACGTAGGCTTTCGCGACCAATATTATCCATAAGAGGTTATTGGGTTAGATCGCACAGGTATACATGCGTCGTTAAACCTGCCACATTTACCATTTGAGTACTAATTTTTTATGGTTTGAGGAAAAATGTATTCTCCCCATACAGGTTAGTCAGTTTAATGTTGTGGGTTTACTCCAACACACCGATGTGCTGAACTAGTCACGAATTGCCACGTTTTTTTTTTCGCGACACATTTATATTTACGCAATCTTCTCCAAAAACCTCTATTATGGAGATTGGGTCAAACTGAACTTTACCACTGAGAAGCCCCAATCATCACCCGGCAGTGGCTGAAACACCACTCAGGAAGGAGAATGGTCCAATTGGGAGGAATTAGATTTCATGATTTCCGTCAGGATTACGATGAGTGTTGCGATAAAAACAGTAGAAAAATTATAAAAGTAAAAAAAAGGAATGTACATCAAAGTTAAGCTTTTTTTTTTTTACTGCAGTCAAACTCACTTAACTTGTGTAGTGTTTTATATTTGTGACTTTCAACCAATAGCACTACCCCAGTACACGTGCAACGTTGTTCCAGGTGTCAGCCCAACGTTTCATGTTCACTGGGTTATGCGAAATAGGGAATGGCATGGGCCACCGTCTACACGAAAATAAAACCCCGCTGCAAATGTGTTGTTTTGTTATTCACTCTACATTCTATTGGTAATTTTTGTAGATACTTAATACATCTAAGGTAAACGCGCTGCCGTATACTGTAAAGAAATAAGCTTGAATTTAGAAGCGCAATGGAATCCGTAAACGTGCTGACTGTTGTTCTTGCCGAATGTTAACATTCGCTGCTCGTTTAAGGATTGCTATGGTACGTGAATGTAAATGACGAGCGAACGCGGACATGCTACCGGAACCATTGTATCGGATCGACACAAATGAGGAATACAATCGTATGTTAAAAAAAAAACACGTGAAAACAGTAAAAACAATTAAAATAATGTGCTTCACCTCTGTTAAAGGCAGCAACACACAACACAGCGATAACGATTTCAAAACTTAACATTCAAGTTTTAAAATTTCAGATTTTAGAATTTTTTTTGGTAAAAGTTGACACTGAGGTAGGATTGTACAAAGCCACGAAAACAAACAAAAATAACATTCAGTAGAATCTTGGGTCTTTTAGTTGCATGAGGCCTACAAAGCCTAGGCACTTTCCTGACAAGGTAACCTATCGAGGGCCTCCACTGGTGAGCATTGAAAAAAATCTCCTGCCCCTCGGCCCTGGGCCTAAAGCAGCTTTATTCTTGAGCCAAGAGTGACGCTCGATGATGAGAAACCAAATCCAGGAAAAATGTACAGAACTCACGCGGACTACAGGCTGACAGAAGTGAGCACTTCAGCCTGTCCCAAAACCACACAGTACTCAAGCAGAAATGTAACCTTCATGCTGTTAGGCTTCAACTTCTCATTGAAATAAATGTACGTCCTGTGAATAAAGGACTCGTTTGAAATGTTCAAGAACTTGCAATTGGCTTATGAAACCCACACGTGATCACATCGATTTGCAGTCGGCTAAAACCAATGTTGTACGCCCCAAAGGACTTAACCAAAAGTTGTTTAAGGGGGTTACGCAGAACATACTGGAATTACAATCAAAGCGAATTAACTTTTTTCCCTCCTAGAGCCCAATATGTTGATGGTTGTCAGTCACACCATTTAGACCCCCACACCCCTTTAGCCAATTGCAAGCAAGTTTTGGTTTGAATGTCCCGCTGCAGAGATTTGTGCAACGTTTCACCACGCAAGCAGTCGATGGTAAATTCTAAATGACATCTCCACCGTCACCAGAAATTCCAGTCGGCTATGGCAGACATCAAACATAACGCTAACACTGTAGCTATTTAAAATGTAAACAACTTGAATGGCTACATCAAAAGTAACAATCGCCTAGAGATGATCAATATTTTCAAATAATAATAACCTTGGTTAGTATTCTACGTCGTACACATTTGTATCCGAAATATAATATTCGTGACCTGTAAGTAAAGAACCGCAGTGTAGTACCGTAATTGACATTTGTTTCGTAAACTGACAACAAGAATAACAATTTTCTTTAAAAAAATCTGTACATTATTGTACATCATTATTGTGCATGGCATCAGCCATGTTTTCAAGATAACACCATTCAAATGAGGTAAACTGTAGGTTGTGGTTACGCTACCGGCTGGACTACAACTGGGCAGTGGTCAAACGGAGGATTGGCGAAACTGTGTGAGGAGGGTGACCACTGCGGGACCCTCCATCGAGGTACGACACCGCCAAGAGGTACCCGTTAAGAATGCCACCACAGAGGCCTTTTGTCGTCTTAGCAAATAATAAGTAGCTGTTTCACGAAGATCACCTCCAAAAACAACAAAAAACGATTGAACCCGAAAGTAAAAATAATTAAAAGTCGAATTATGTTCTGTTTTTTTTTTTACTTCCCTCCAAACAAAGGACCTGGGTTCTTACAAAATACTCTGAAGGTATTCAATATAATGCCCTGTCTTGTAATATTATTTGCCCCACTTTGTAAAAGTCAATTTGTTCGGAGGCAATGATCAATATTTGGAGATGAAGTAATAAACTTAGAGATTATATTAATTCATTTTTAAAAATGTAAGCCTATTTAAAAAGTTTTGTAACACGTCATTTACCCTCCATTAAAACACATCTTGTAAAAATATTTTCCTTGTTAATCCTAATGTACTATCTCTAATAAAATGATTGAAATCGTAATCTTATTTATATTTTGATACTCGTCATTGATTAGGGTTTCTGATTGATTGTTACCAGGGACTGTTAGGTCAGGGTTAATTTAAGATTAAACTCTTAAGACAAAGTGTTAATTTAAAATTAGTGAACGTATTACTTTGAGGTTAATTATGAATAAAATGACAGGTATTTCACAATTTTTTGTTCGTTAATTAAGGAAGCGCCAATTAAGAATTGTTAAATAAGCACAGACCCTGGTATTTACTGATACGTCAAGACTAATCCATACATTCCATGTCCTTCAAATAGCTACGAGGATAGTAGCATAAAAAAAAACAAAGTAACCTGTAAAAGTCGAACTCTTGTAAAAGATAAATACTTAACAAAAATGCAAAAAAAACGATTTTCGAAATGAAAAAAAATTAAAACTTAAAAAAAAATTGTTTACTGAAAACGCACACACACAGACACACACACACAGACAGACCTAGAAAATCTTTCTAAAAACACAAACGAACCACCATCCTTTTGGCAACGTTGAGGGTTTACCCCACTTCTGCCAGTGGGGTAGGGGGGGGGGGAGCCGGGGGGTGGAGGTCAGGGGTGGGGGGGTCAGGGAGAGTGGGACGAGGTTGACTCGGGGTGAGGGCCGAAGTGGCCCGGTCCGGAAGAGGGCCCGGCTGGAGGGCCTCCCGCACCCCGAATCGGGCAGTTGGCCATCATGTGGCTGGTGCTTTGACAGAAATGGCACTTCTTGGGCTGCGGTGGCAGGGTGCACTCCTTAGCGTGGTGATCCAGCCCCCCGCAGTTGTAACACCTGCCAACGGCACACCAGCGAGAGGGTTCATAATTATCATCATGATCATCATCGTCATCGTCGTCGTCAGCCATGGTCTATGCACTGCTGGATGAAAGCCTCCCCCCCCCCCCCCGCAAAGTTGTCACCGTTTCTTAAATAATCAAGTATTATTATTATTGATCGACGTCAGCTGATTTACAAGAACGGCCCCCGCGGAGGACCTTTGTGAAGAGAAAAAACCGAGGTGAGAGCTGGTGTATAAAATCATAACGTTGCTGAACACAGAGCAGCGAACGCATTCGGGGGAATATAACAGTCAATATAACATTCAAGTCGCGCGCCGCTCAAGTAACACTGGCGGCCGACAACGCGGAAATATATAAATATATACAGTAGAACCTCGGAGATCGAACGCACCAGAACTCGAACAAATCGGTGTTTGAACGACATTTCCGAACATTTTTTGCCCCGGAAACCGAACGAAATTCGGAGGTCGAACGGGCAATCGCGACTAATCTGTACGACTGAGACGCATATGGCCAGCGTGCATGACGCTTGCCCGGACAAAGGGTTTACCACCTCCTCCTCCTCCTCACCACCTTCCACTCAAGCCATCAACTCTCCTTACTACAGGTAAAGTGAAGTTCAATGTTCATTTATTGCATTTATTCCATATATTTATTCATTTATTCCATTTATTTATTGCCTTTCTTGTTTTTTTTGTATGATTTTATGCATGTAATTACTGTAAACTTCGTGTAAAAACGCTTTATAATGAGAGATTTCTTGTGTCTGGAACCAATTAATGTCATTTACATTAATTCTTATGGGGAAAATTAATTCGGTGTTCGAACAAATCGGTGTTCGAATGGCCTTCTGGAACGAATTAAGTTCGATCTCCGGGTTACCACTGTATATGACACCAACTTGCGTGCATGTTCGCTAACCACCTGAACAGCAACAAAAAAATTATCTCTGGTTCGTTGTTTACGCTGGAAGGCCTCACCGAGTCTCACGTCTCGATTTCGGGAGGGCCCTGCGAAGTTTTGGCAGGGGGGTGGGTGAGGCGGTGGCGGGCGATGATTGCTGTAGGTACAGGATTCCAAACGCGTAATTTGCGAGACACTGTGCCGACTACATGCACGGTGCAGCGCGTGGGCACGGCCCGACAGCACCGGGAGAGGCATGCAGCAGCAGCAGCAGCGACAGCACCAAAACCTACGCAGGAAGGGTGCTGCTTCTTTTCCTCAATGAAATATATCAATGAAATAAGAACACTTTTTTCATAATGGAGCTTTTCTTTTTTTGGGGGGTTAGATCGCGTAAATATGAATGTGTCATCAAACCCGCCACCACCCGACACATGAGTCAGGTTTGTCACGTGCACACTAGCGTGCCCCCATTCGTTACTAGTACAGCACACCGGTGTGTTGGAGAGTAAACTCACAACATTTACAATTGTAAGCCCACAACCTACATTTAAACCCACATTTACAATTGCAAATGTTATCCAATACACCGGTGTGCTGAACTAGTAACTGATTGGCATGTTTTGTTAACATGACAAACATTATTAATTGTCTGTGCTGGGTGGTGGCAGGTTGAACGACACATTTTTATTTACGCGATCTAACCCAAAGAAACGTCTATTGTGGATAATACTGGTCGCGAAAGCCGACTACGTATTAAACACTTTTTTACTTTGTCGGCAATAACCTTAGTTTCTGGTAAGTACTGTACGGTATTTTGTTTATATTTCACAACTTATTTTCAGTGTTAATTATTGCGAATATCTTATATCTATATATATAAAAGGGAAATTTGTGAATATGTGTGTCTGTTCGAAATGTTTAGGCATACTTCCCGACATGCTACAAACTTGAAATTTGGCATGTGGGTAGCTTCCAGACTGTACACAATGGGAAAAAGTATAAAAATAGACTTTTGTATTTTGGGGGGGGGGGGGGGGGGGGCGCAATAATGGATATATTTTGCACGGCAAGTGAGCGGTGACGTCACATCTGTGATGTCACCCGCATGCGGCAGCGTCACGCAGTGTGCCTGCTGACGTCACGCACCCCCCAACCCTCCACGCAGGCCGTGTAATAATCCAAGAAAACAATACAAGTCTCAGTTTTATCATAACGTTTTACAATTTCCATTAAATACGTGCTTAACAAAAGGGTTTTCTGCATTCTTCCGTGAGATTAAGTATTGGGGCCGACATTTTCTCCCCCATAGGCTCGGATCTTCCAAATTCTATATCGTGGAAGCCAACGGCAAAAGTAGGAATGGATAAATACGGAGTTGCACTTTTCAGACACCTTTTCAGGAACGAAACGGTTCCGCGTATCGAGGGACGCGCGTGTTTGCTGTTCCGTCTCCGATTGGAACGGTTGGCAACGTACGGTGTAAAAGAAGTTCAACATGCGTGCATCACAACATGGCAGCGATAGTAGCCCCCCCCCCCAGTGATCGAGTTCAAGCGGGCACCTGTCGTGAACGCTCTTGGCCAGCAGAGGGCACAAGATGTCCATGCAAAGGGCTTTTCGCTTTAATGGCAGCGCCCAAATACGACGTGCGGATGAGGCGGTGATAACGACGACATAAGGGGCCGTCCATAAATGACGTCACGCGATTTTGGATGATTTTTGACCCCCGCACCTCGTCACATGGCGTCATAAAAAGTCAGACTCCCCCCCTCAAATATGACGTCACAAAGCTGTGCCCCCCCCCCCAAATAAAACATGCTTCAAATCGTTTTAAACTATTGTCATTGTAGTGCGTATTTAATGTGGCGCTGCACTCTGATGTTGTAGGAAAAAACATTTATCAAAAAGTATATTTAATTAAGTAGAACGTGTTGTCTAAATGTATTTAAAGTTGAGCATTTTGATGTGACGTCACATTTCTCAACCCCCCCCCAAATCCTCGTCACAAATGTCTGACCCCCCTCCCCCCCCCAGGTGCGTGACGTCATTTATGGACGGCCCCTAACGAGCAATACCGGTGACTTCCGTTGCACTCCACAAAGCCAACAGTTGGCAATATTTAGCAATGAGCAATCCGAGTCGCAATGACTGTGGTTCACCCAGTCGAGCGTGCAACAGGAGGTCGGGAGTTCGATCCCGACCCTGACGCTTGCTGTATATTTGGAGTTTTCACGCTCTCCACGTGATCACGTGGTCTTCCGGTTGTTCTCCTCCACGTTTAGAAACATGCCATGAGATTATTTTGATTATCTTGGCGCTATAAATGTCCAAACGATGGTGCCACTTTGTTGAACTATCATTTGTGGCCAGGTCACTTCTGAAAAATAAGTTGACACCTCACTGGGCTTTGCCTGGTAGGATGGGGATGGGTTATAGTTGTTGTATTTGTGTGTTTGGTGGATTTGTTTAGCTTTATTGTACTTTGCACTCCTATCGTGTCTTGTACTGTTTGTTGTTGTAACGTTCTTACCCCGTTCTCCACTGGACATCTGTGAAAAAGAGCTTTATAGCTCATAGGATTCATACTCTTTGTTTTTTTCGGTAAAGTCACGTAAATTACTCTCACTTGATACAGTAATTTTGCTGTGACGGTTCCACCTGAAGACGGAAGCTTGTGTTGCCTCCGAAACGTCGTGAGTGAATTTATTTACATTTTTTTACCTACGTGACTTTACCGAAAAAACCAAAGAGTATGAATCCTTGCAGTCACGAAAACTTCAAATCTAGAACTCATCGGATTCCTCCAGTATGAACACATTCAGATTCTGTTTTACTGGGTAGTGACGAACAACCTCGTCTGCACAACATTGCCCGCTACACACTCGGTTCCTCAAATTAGCACAAAAATATATATCTCAACATGTTGGGTCAATGACACTGCGGCGGTAAATGGACAAGTACATCACGGGTGACGTTTCAGGCAATGGCCCTTCCTCAAAGCACATGAGTCAAAGTCGTTCCATGTCGTGAAGTCGTGACGTAAGACTGGTTATGTACCGGTGTACAATTACACCGGTACAATAACAACAATAAAGTTCCTTGTTTATCCAGGAAAGCCTCACTGAGACTTGAATGCTTATATTTTTAAGAGGGTCCTGATTTGCGATGTTTGGCCAATGCCACGTGTTTGACGGAAGGAACAGGAGTCCCTAGAGAAAATCCATGCATGTGGTGGACGGGGGGGGGGAGGTAATCCTCAAAGCAACGGACGTGTGGATTTAAGAATCTCAAACTGTACTACTATCACCAGGAAAACCTCACAGCCCAGGCCTACAATACCGAGTATTCTGCAGCAGTCCACCATCCATGTACTAACCAGATTAAATTCTGTTTAGCTTCAGAAGCTCTGATGCGATCAGAGGCATTGTGGGGATGGCTTAGACAACATCTTAACTCCAATTAAACAAAGTTGCCGGGCAGAATTTTCTCTCTTATTTTAGCCTTGGGTCATTGGTATGGCAGGGTCAGGTCTCATCGACAGAACAACGAATTTTGACGTCCCTATTTTAAACGACCACCGACGGGGTGGAGGGATATGAAGAACCCCAACCGGGATCTGAACTCACGAAACTTCCAATTGAGAGCCACTTGCTCTACCCACCGCACCAGCTCAACCCGAACACCACACTGCCACGTTACCAAATCTTAAAAACATACGCCTCCAGGATAATAACAATAATTCTTTAAACACTTAACAAAACAGTTTATTACAGATGGCATGGATATATAAAAAAAACACGATGAAGATACTGTTTGGTTCTTTCGATAAAGTCACGTAGAAAAATAATAGATCACGACGTTTCGATCACCACACAAGCGATCGTCCTTGTGTGGCTTGTCTTTACCACCTGAGGACGATCGCTTGTGTGGCGATCGAAACGTCGTGATCTATTATCATTTTCCTACGTGACTTTACCGAAAGAACCAAAGAGTATGGATTCCTGCAGTCGCGAAAGCTTCAAATCACTATTAAGATCGTCCGTAGTTCAGGATGGACAAAGTAATTTTCTCCAAGCACAACTGTAC